AAATATTTTTAGGTTTAATTCTTGTTTAGATAATTAGGATAGTCTAATTTAGTTAATAGTTAATCATAAGTCCTCGTGGGTTCGACATCCGACTTTTAGTCACTTTATTACTTGACGACCGCGTATACTTGCGTGAGTGTGTTTGGTCGCAACAGCCTCTATCTGAATTAGCTGGTGTGAGGTATAAGAACTCTCAATCCATTATGCTCAATCTAGACCCATTTACAAATCTGACCCATTTCTCAGATCATAAGGAAAATGCACAAATGTCCCTAAATGAAACTTCCTACTATACACAAATCTGACCCAACTGTCAGATTCCAGGAAAAGAAAAACTATCACAACCAGAATTTCCTGTTATTCACAAATCTGATCCAATTGTCATCACCAACAGCTACTCAACTATCCACCTCAATCCCATAGTCGGATTCAGAATCCTCAAAATTCACTCTGCTCCATTGACCCATTTTCAAATCTCACTCAATTGTCAACTGAGCAAAAAAAAGAATGCAGATTAATGGAACTCCCTATCATTCACAAATCTGACACGATTGTCAAATTACAAGAGAAATGAAAAATGCCAATAAATGGAACTTCCTATTTTCACAAATCTGATCCAATTTTCAGCATCAACAACTACTACTATGCCTTTATCCCATACTACCAATTACTATATGAATCCTCAATATCTATTCACTCCATTTGGATAAAATTGCATATAAATCGAACTATGGGCATATGTAATTTCAATTTAAGATTACAAATTCAGTAGTAATACGTACCAGAGACAAGAGAAGGGTCTTTGAATTTCTTAGAAAAGCCAGGGTTAGAAGGGTCAGAGATAATCTCCTTGACGATGAACACATTGTCCAAACCACCTTCCCCTAATTGCTTGAGAATCCTGAACCGATTCTCATTGATCCAAACATCCCCTCCACCATTTGCACCGTCGTACAAAGCATTCAGTCCGGAGAACGAGCATCCCATTTTCTTTGCTCTCTCAATCAATGGTCAGCTCCTTCTCGTTCTCTCTCTGACTTTTTTCTTTCTCCTCTTTCCCTGGATCTCACACCTATTTCCTATGTATGTATTAAACGCTGTGTTTCTCTTTGTGTTATAAGTATTTATTGCTTTGTTTGAGATTTGGGATACAATTGATGTGATGCTTGTAGTAGAAACTAGTACAACTGTACAAGTTAACTTCTTTCTCGGATCTACCACAATGTCTAATTTGTTGATTTTTATACCTTCCATTCCCATTGGCTTGAGAGGTAATTTGAGGTACTTTTTAAATTAAAAAAAAAACAGATTTTTAGAATTTGATTATTTTAGATTACTTTCCAAGATAAATTTTACTTAACCACCATAAGATTTTGGATTTGGAAAAAATATCTGTTTTTACATTTTGAACGAGACAGTAAAATTCCTTGATCTTACATATTAAGTGAAAAAAATAGCTGGTCATCTCAATTATGAGGGATCATTATCATTTTTTTCTCCAAAGATTACCTAAAAATACTGGGGGTGTTCATAATTCGGTAAAAAAAAAAAAGAATTATCGAATGAAATCGAAAAAATGACTCAGCTTCAAATATTATCAGAATTGCTACCGATGGTCGAGTTGAACAAAAAGAAAATTTTGGTCAAATCATGTGGAACATTTTTGCAATACCACAAAAATAATCTACATCGTTAAATTGAAAGGATGGAGCCAATGGCATAGCCTAGAGCATAAAAAAATTTAGACTTTAAATTATACGTATTGACCGTTGTAAAAAATGTATTTACACAAGTCAGTCATAAAATAATTACAGGTAAAATTTGACTCACTGTGAAAGCTTCTACAATAGGTTAAACTATACCGATATAGCAAAAATCGTTATAAACCTCAAGGTGACAAATGCCTGACAATTACTGATTCAGTTGCAACCCCGAAATCAAAATTGATATTACACCCTAACTCAATCTGCACATTAGTGATAGTTTGTTTATCACACGTATAATTTTAATGGTATACCACCTCAAATAGAGACATGTACATAACATGGTATCTAATTTCGTTCCTACTTTCCTTTTGGTCAATATTTGAACCAAGAAGCAAGCTAGAGTCAGTATGACAATCTGCATCTAAATTTCAGTGAAGTCTATAGCTTACCAAAAACCTCTATTAAGAAGCAATTTGTTAAAAAAAAAATATAAAAAAAACAATTTGTGTTGTAACCCGAAAAGAATCCAGATCCAACAATACAGTGCTCTTCTTTGGAGAAGTCTCTCTCAGATATTATTCTTGCACTCCAGAATCTTGAAAGAAAAGGCAACAACCCAGTGTAAATTCCATAAGTGGGGTCTGGGGAGGGTAGAGTATAGACAGACCTTACCCCTGCCTTTAAGAAGGCAGAGAGGCTGTTTCCGGTAGACCGGGAAAAGGGAAGGGGCAATAACAAGCAAATCGATCTAACAACCGAAGCGAAAATACAAAACTAGCAATAGGTAATGCGATCAGAAAACCGAAACAAAAGACAACAGCAAGTAGTAACAGAAGTCTAGGGATACGAAAAAACACGAAAACACCAAGTGGTGTATCAAAGCTACTGTTACAAACAAAGACAACACTCGACTACCTAACCCTTAACCTTTATTCTCAACCTCCACCCCTTTCTATCCATGGTCATGTCCTCAATAAGCGAGTAACACCATATCTTGAAAGAAAAAGCAAAATACATAAAATAAAGTTCATCTACCAGATGTCAAGTAAGGATATCATTCATAGAATCTCTGATATTAGCCAGATTACGGACAGCTCCATGTTATCACTTGCACATGCCAAATATTAGTTATCCCTCTGCTAAGATGTGGAACCATTTAAAATCTTGGGTGAATATTCTGGGCCGCTTGGCTGCTGCTGCGTGATACAATGTATATTTCCACCTCCCAATACAATCTCCCTTGCACCTTCAATTCCTACCACCTGCCACCAACCATTTTCAATTTGCATGAGTTCTGGAGGGACAGCAGATTTATAACTGAAACATGAGGAGATATGGGGTGCAAGAATTTGAGTTGAAACATGAATTTTCCACCCACCTCCGATGAGAGTACAATCAGTTTAGTCGTTTCTAATGCATATTTCAAATGTAGTGGCGACTGTAGTGGTTGCGATGAAAGTTTGACATAATTATGTACGCATTAACACATCTCTCAATTACAACACCTAGTCTACAGTCTACAGTGCTAAATGATAATGGAGCTAACTCTGTGCATGTATGTAAAGTAGGTTTAACAATTACACTCCTAAGCACATGAATGCTAAGCATATCAATCGTCATTATCTAAAATGCACTAAAGCCTGGTCTTTGTCCTTTTTTCTTTCACTGCATTGTTATACGTTTCTCTTAAACATCCTTCTATAAGGACTCTTTCTCATGACAAGGAATCCTTTTAATTGTTATTATAACAACAACAACAACAACAACAACAACAACAACAACCCAGTCAAATCCCATTAATGGGGTCTGGGGAGGGTAGTGTGTACGCAGACCTTACCCCTACCCCGAAGGAGTAGAGAGGCTGTTTCCGAAAGACCCTCGGCTTATATTATTGTTATTATGATTATTATTATTATTGATAAATATGAGGAGGTCATTTTATTTCCTGATGAACTGAGATCATTCTAGGTCATGAACTGCAGCGTTACTGCAAGGTGCATGGTAATTTTGCATACGGCTCTACCCATTATGTTGAATGACTAATGACCATTGCAAATAGTAACCAGACCAAGTTCTTTGCTTACCTCATGATCTGGAAATGCCAGTGAGAGGACTCTAATAGCTTCTTCATCCCATTTTTTATCCCCAAATTGCGGAGTAATAATTGCGCCATTGGCAATGTAGAAGTTAACGTATGAAGCAGCAAGCCTTGTACCTGAAGTCCTAGGTTTAGCATCACCATCCTGTTAGGTAAACAGTGGGATCATATCAGAGAAAAGATGCTTGACTTTTTACTCGGATTGTAGTTCCTCAAGAAAGCAAGTAGAATTGTAAAGCTACAAAAGTGCTTGGAGAACTTTGGAAACAACGAAAAGATTAGTATTGCATAAGACCTATAATGTCACTAATATGATGTTCTTCAAGATATAATTCAGCTTCAGAAGATTTCAAATGTCACTAATATTTCAAGCAGCCGTTACAAAAGGTCAAGTTACATTCTGTCATTTCACAGAACATGACCGAGAAATCCAGCAGAAGCTCGTAACCTAAGGGCCAAGCAAAGGACTGACTTTTGAGTCAACTCAATGACGTAAAAGGATAGTTGTTTCAGTTAATTATATACACATATTTATGATATTTTACTGTTCTGTGAGTAAAAATAATTACGTTTCCATGGAAAGGAAGACAGCAACATTTTAAAACAAATCTAATCCATATATAGTTATCTTTGATCCAAAATTCGAACTGATGAATATCATCCTACGCATTGATGTTTTGCATATAAATAGAAAAAGAAAGAGAACTAAATCCTCATGCCTATATCATATTCACAAATCTGGCAAAAGTCGACTTGAGATGCATCGAAATTTCTTTTTAGACAGCTCTGCAATTTTCTTTTTCTTTTCAAAATTTTATGTATGACAGGGAATGAATGCATAATGGAATCCAGGATCCAAGTATGAGTTCAACCCTTTTCTCATCGGGCAGTAATAATGTCACCAAAGAGGTACCAGAAACATCACCTGAAATATTCCATCTGCCTCCTCATCTGTCATACAGAGTGGCCCAGGTACATGGAGTTTGATCACTTGTAGTTTTCTACCATTGGCATCAGAAGTAGTTTCAAGAATAGAAAGGGCTTCAATGGATCTCGCATACTGTGGATCAGATTGATCATCGGTCCAAGACAATAAAACAACACCAGGCTTCACAAAACAGCACATGTTGTCAATATGACCATTTGTATCATCATCACCTGCAGCATCAACAGTAAACTGAAGTCTAGTTGTTCACTTCTCTATTATTATTTTGTAAACAAATGAAAAAGAAAAAGGAAACATCATCTCAAGGCCCACTGCACAAAGTTTGAAGATAAATAACAAAAAACGAATTCTTTCAACGGATAACATCCCAATATGTTATTTGAAAATGACACTTAAACTAACAACAACATACCCAGTGTAATCCCACAAATGTGGTCCGGATAAAATGTAATCCAACAACATATTCTAAAAAAATGTTTTATAGGTTAGTAATCTCTTAAGTAATTAACAAAATTTCAAAATAATAACTTCGTTCCGATTACCAAAATTAATACTCCATCGTTCCATTTTGTTTGCATGGTTCGGAGCACGAGGGTCAAAGTACTTAATTTTCTATATGAATTTGAACATAAATTCTTCAAGTTTTTGGAAATAAAATTTGCATATTTGGAAACTACATAAAAAGTACTATAAGTCAAAATAGTTGATAATTGGAAATATTGAAAAAATATTTAAGAAAAATGTGGTCAAATTAGAACCTCTTTAACTCTCCAACTAGTAAATGTGCCAAATAAAGTGAAAAAGAGGGAGTAATCTTTTTTATGTAGATCACCTTGAATTGTTAATTAGAGAATTTTTTTTAATGTGACTCTGCATTATAATTAAAACTCTGTCAAGTATTTTAGATTATTGAAGTGTATTTTTATCCTACCCCAATGTTGTAACTGAATCAATAATCAAGTATTTTTTATTTCCATACAGGTTCATGTCTTAAAACCATACACACTTGCTTTAACCCCAAACTGCAGTTTACTGTCTCAAAAAGGGCCAGCATGAAGAAAAAAGGATTGACAAAAGAAGTTTGGAGACCTCCATGACGGAACATGCACAAATATCTTAAAAGCACAGTCGTGCTAATTAACCTATAAATTTCAAGATTCTCATGGCTGTTCTCTTATGCAAAAATGAGAAAGGATACACATCATCCTAATGATACAACCAAGGATAGAACTTTGCTACGTCCAACACTACCACATGAAAGCACGAACTTTTGCAGGGACACAATTCAATTATATCAACTATGCGCACAGAAAAATATTAGATGACAAGCAGAATGAATACCAAGCAACCCTCGAGGCAGCCAAATAATCTTCCTGACTCCAAGATATGCTTTTAGTTCATTCTCAATCTGTTCCTTAGACAAATGTAGGTTCCTGTTTTTGTTCAGGAGGCACTCTTCTGTCGTGAGACAAGTCCCTGAAGAGAAGATAAAAGAGGATAAGAAAGCATGCTCTTTGCGTCTGATCAACAACCATAATAGTAGTATCTGAAATCAGAATACAATATGAGATTCAACGCAAACAGCTGAAGACACCCCATGGAACTGGATAACCGTGTAAGTAGATGAAAGTCATTTACCAGCAGAACTTTTCAACTCTTTTTTAAAGCATTCTAAATTAAATTTGGTAAATTCAGTACTTTGTATTGCTAGCTACAAAATTAAAGAAGATGTCATTTAGTTCAAGAGTTAATAATTAAGTTTTGTACAGAGAAGCTTTCTGTTTTATTCACTTCCATACTTCGCTTGCTTAATATCTTACAGGCAGATGATTGGCAGTTTATCTACTGGAGCTTCATAAATAAATCACAGCTACTGAAATCAACTCTCAAACATGATTACTCTGAAATGGAGAAAGAGACTCTTTTAAACTATATAGAAATCAAGTCTCGTCCATAAAATAAATAAAATGTATGTACCTTCTCCATCGACATGAATGCTTCCACCTTCAAGAATCATAGAGTGTGGAAACCTTGGGACCTTTTCAATTGCCAAAATCTAAACAAGAAGAACATAATGGATAACTCAATAGCACGTGTGTATTTAGTAACCAATAATGTACTATCAACAAGACACATCTGCAGCATAAGAAACTTGCAGACCTTTCTTGCAACAAGAAGGTCATGACTCCAGTCTTCGTAACAGCCATCATCAACACCTAGATATTTTAAAATCTCAATCATGAATGTGTTTTGTCCGCGGGAAAGAAACAAAAAGGATCTTGGATCAATCTAAGAGCAACTCTATATTACTGGATACGCCGACATGGTTTTGAGACAATATTACTATGGCAAGACAGAACCAAAGCACACATGAGATTCAAATAAAACAAAGACACTACAGACTGATCAAGTGATCATCAGCACAAAGAAATCTGAAAAATTCAGCAACTTCCAGAAGCATTCTACAACTGATGAAAGCTCTACAACAGTTACTTATATTTAACGGATACGAAATACTATTTGCTTATAGAACAAACACACACAGGTATATTCCCCTTTCTAGAAGTTCTAGGCAATCAAAGAAGACCACTAAACACAGAAGATAAATATCCTGAGCCCTTCAACAGATCGTCAAACTATATCCCGCTGGATTCCATATGACATGACTAGCTGTAGATAATTGTCATGCTGGAGCTGGAATGCTAAGAAAGCCTCAAGCATTTGGGAAGGAAAAACTCAACATAAAGTACCATCATGTCAGATTGGCTATTAGTTAAATTATCTGATGAGAATTTTCCCTTCACAAATAAATATTCACATTTCAGACTCCAGAGCATATAGCTTTAAAAATGCCCTATGGAGGAGTAATAGTTTTCTACAAACAAGATAATCATGAGTTAGAACTTTTAGTCCTGTAAATTGCAGATAGGGTGTTGAATATATTTGTTAAACCTCCCAAGAAAAATATTGCCGTAAAATTAATGGAAATCGGGCTGCATTTACTGACATATGAAAACTCCTGAGACAGGATACACCAGTTTGGTGTGAAAAAAGGAAAAAAGAAAAGAAAAACAGCACAGTAGTTCCTCATGGATATCAAGAGTGAGATCAAATTCCCTTACCACCCCAGCTATTGAAGGTCCAATCAATTCCTGCAACACTTGGCGCTACATGTTCAGTATCTTCTGATGTGGTATTTCTGATGACAAACTACATAGACAGAGGTATATAATTTTCTTGTAACTCCTGTGTGGTGTGGCAGTTAAAAGCAAATTCAATTTGAACTCCACAGAAAGGAAACAGAATCTCACAGTTGGACCAGTATCACGAAACCAAGAATCATTCATGCTCATCTCCACAACCCTGATATGTTTAGGTAAGAGGTTGCGTGCATTTTCCCACTGTTCAGCATAGATATGATTCTTATTAGGACAAAAGAGAAACAATCATGACATAACGAGAAAATTTATTTGGGCCTTCCAGTAACTGCAAACCTGAGCAGCACTAGCACAGACTGTTACTGGTTCGAATCTTGAGATAGCAGATGCTACATTGGCAAATACATGTTGACCATGGAATGCATTGTTTCGCCAGTTATCTGGACGTTCCTACATATCAAAAATAAAGCTATCAGCCCAGAGAAACCTAAATCTCTGCGTCTTCAGAAGAAAATACTACCTGAATATCATAAAAAAAGGGGCAGCCCGGTGCACTAAGCTCCCACTGTGCGCGGGGTCCAGGGAAGCCAAGAAAAATTGAGCCAAGAAAAAAGGAGGGAAAACAAAATAAAATTGGGAGAGAGTACTAATCGAACAGGGAAGAAGATGTGTTGTCTTTTAAGAGATTATAAAGAGACATGTCAAGATGTCAACCATACAGATGATGTCATAGAATGTCATTAAGATATGTGAAATCTGTAGTTCAGACTGCGAGATTGCTCACATTGCTTAAACTATTCAACCGGCCATACTCTACTAAGATGGAACTCCAATATAAAGTTTCAAAAGGAGACATCTGAGACTAAACGCAGCCAAAGACAACTTCAGCAGATAATCAGAAACGAGAGGATCATGAACAGTGATCCTACTTTGTTCTAGAAACCACATAAAGTATCTTCTCACTTGCAACAGAACAGATTAAAAAAAACACTTGTACAACGATCAAGAAAGGAAATGAATCATGTTCTTGAATGATATGCAAACTCACATGAAACAATGAGTTGCACCAAATCCCATGATCGTCCAATGATCCTAATTGGCACAGTACTTATTTTTGCAGCTACATATAGGCATGACGCTGAATTACACTGCTATATTTGATAAGCATAAAAGGACTCTCACTTGTTAATAACCTATTCTCTAGATGATTTGAAACACCTCCACCGCACCCGCACACTCACATAGTGCCAAACCAGGATTAGAGTCAATGGGTTTGGAGTGGGTGATATTATACACGTATATGTTTTATTTTATTTTATGCATTTATTTATTTCATTTTTATTAGTATTATTATTAATTATTATTGCATGTGCATAGAAGGTCTAAGCTGAAAGCAGTGGTTTCTGTTAAACCCCAGGCGTAGAGCTAGATCTGCCTCAGCATCCACACTCTAGATTAAATCTTGTTTTCTGGGTTTCCCGCACCTTGTTACCTGCTTTGGGGCTCGACTAATCCGGAATCGCGCCAGTAAGTCCCACTTTGGGAAATATAGCGCAAAGGCAACTTCATTAGATTTCAAGTCGAATATGAACTTCCAATTGAAAATTCATCAAATTCTCCTACATGAATAGACTAATTTGAGCTAAAAGGAAACTGTTCAGGTAAAACTTATCCACCTAAACGGAGGCAAACATCCATGATTAGCCATCATCATACACACAGCTAACTTACTTGCCCCCTAAAAATTTGAAAATAAATAAATAATAATAATAAGGCAAGCAAAATAGTAACATAAACAGCTAAAATTAGAGAGTACTAACAGGCCAGCCCATCCAACAATGAGAGTGGGATTCCCATTCAGCAGGCATACGGTATCCATTTTCAACTGGCGTCCCCTTCAGATCCATCTCTAACCTCTTCTTCTTCTTCTTCCTCTAAACACAAGCTTCACAATGTATGTGCTCTTTTCACATATATATGGAATCATGACACTGTTAAGATTCCTTTTTTAGTATTTTTCCAAAAGAAAAGATTCTTCAAATTATGTGTACCGTGGAATATTATCTTTTCCTCTTTGGGGAATTAAATTAAATATATTTAAAAAGAAGGGAATAATGTAGTTAAAATATTATATCAATATATTAATTATATTCGGTGTGGTTCAGCTTTTCTCCTTTCGATTTCGGTTTATTCGGTACGGTAATTTTGGTTTGTTCGGTTTCAACATTAATTGGTGCATAAAGCCATAAACTGTAATATTCTTAATTAAAGTACTCACAAATAGTGACGGATACAGAATTTTATGCAAGCGGGTTCAATCTTAGAAATACATAAGTTTAGTCGTAAAATAGTAGCTGTCAAGTGGGTTCAAATAAAATATTTATACAAAATTTATGCAACTTTAATCGTAATTTATACATATACACAGTATTATTTTTTGACGAAGCGGGTTCAGTTGAACCCGTGTTCCACCATGTGCGTCCGCCACTGCTCACAAATACAAAAATAAAAATGTTCTAAGCTCATGTGACTATCAACAAAAAATTGTCCAAAACCAGTATGTATCAACCCATAGAGAGAGAAAAAGTATATAGAGGAATAAATATAATTATTGAAAATATTTTGTTAATTGTTTAGAGCTAATTGCTGGAGTTAGAGAATACAACAAGGACTAATCCAACAAATGCAACTCAATATACGAGAAAAAAATCCTAAAATCGTAAAAGTATTACTTTAAGATGCTTGGCATCCTAAAGAAGAAGAATCAAAATCTGCATGCTACCTTGTTCCTCCATTTTTTTATAGAAGTACATGAGCTTTTATTGTCTTAACATGAGCCTCAACATGCATACCAAAAAAAAGTATTATGTAACTTAGTATATTATAATCAATAATATGTGAATTGTATAATTTATATATTTCGGTATCATTTTTTGTAAATACCAAATACCATACCTAACATCAACTATTTTAAAAAAAAAAAAAATTAAATCAAATAACATACCAAATACCAAATTATCGAATACCAAGTACCAAAATTTTCGATTTCGGTATGGTAATTCGGTATTTTCTAATTATGCACATCCCTACAATCAACACATATGATCTTTTGATTAATACTCCCTCTGATTCATAATAAGTGATTTTTTAATATTTGACTAAACTACCCTTAATTAAAATTTGCATATTATTAAATTGATATATTAGGATATGTAAATAATGATAAATTTTAAAAAAAAAAATTAATTCCTTCTTGATTATGTAAAAGGCCATTTATTTTAGATCACCAAAATGTCACTTGTGGACATAGTATATACTTTAATAAACTAGTTAAACTTGACAATTTTGTATCGCTTTCACATTACTTTGAAATTCTCAAGTGCTCCCGGATAATATTAAATATAATCGTGTTCACTTTAATTTTATTTATTTATTCATCATAAAGTGAAAGTTGGTTCATGATTTGACATGAAATGAGAAAAAGGTTAAATATTCAATTGTCTCGGTTTGTTTCTATTAATTTGGTTTTATAATTGATACTGTATTCATTGCTTTTTGTTTGGGGGTTTTGGGTTGGGGGATGGGGGGAGGCAGTCACCAACCAAAGATACCGTGGTTTTGGTTCAAAATTTTTAGGTTTGTTTTCAAACAAATATTATCGTGGTGAACATTTGAACTAGATATGTCAAGTAGACAACAACAATAACACGCCCGGTGTAGTCGTATAAGTGAGTATGCAAGTAGACTGAGTATCAAATTACATTTCGTGTATTGATTATCATAAAAGTATTATAAGAAAAATTAAATTATGGTGTATGTCTACTATTTCTCTATGATATTCTCAAATGCTTAATGACATTCAATGACATATTTCTATGCTTAATGACATATTCAATGACATATTTTTCTTCACTTTTCATGCATATATAAAGGTCTTGTAATAGATAAGAAAATACACACAATTGAAGAAGAAAATCTATTCCTTCTCTCTATCTCCATTTCTTGTTCATGTTTTACTAAGTTGCTTTTATTTCATAACACGTTATCAGCACGAGTCTCTACCAATTGAGATTATGTGCTTTAATCGAATTTTATCTTCTCTCAACCAGAGTTAGTCAAGTTTCTTTTCGGTCCAGTAAGCTTTACTTTTAAATTCTTATGTCAGCATATATTTGCTAATTCATGTCTAGCTTTGAGTTTACACTTATATGCAATATGACAACATGATAATCAAACCAAAATCTTAATCTGCATATATGTGTGACACTTAGTCTCAATTATTTTTTTATGCCTACATGGTTAGAAAATGAAAAGAATTCCTAACACTTGTGTTCCATATATATCTGATTAGAACACTGTTGTTTTCTTATATCAAAAGTAGCTTTAATGTTTAGTAAAACTTATTTGTGGATTGAGTAGGATAAGTAGAAAATTATTTTTTATTATTTTAATGATTCATGCTATTAAAATATAATAATAATAATAATAATACTCGAAACTATTTTATTTTAATAAGATAAAATATTAGTACAAGAAGTATGTACTACACCAAAATTTTCATTTGTGATAGTTCTTATCAAATTAATATGTTGAATCATTTCTATATGGAAAGCATATAGTAGTAGATAATAGACAGAGATTTGTCCCCTAATTTTTCTTTGATTCCCTGATTAACCTAAAGGTTCTGCTATATCTCTTTGTTTTTCTAGAGAGCATAATACTTAGTTTTCACAAAAATGTATGGTAACTAGTAGTACTATATTATTCTATTTGATACATCATTTTTCTTTAATATTTTGGTCATATCACTTTCATCTTGAAGTAAGCTTATTGCAGCAAAGACCACATGTGAATTTTTAATATTATTTTATATTTTTATATATCTGTTTGACACTAATTACTTAGCTGATTTGAGTAAACGAAAAGTCTATTGTTGACAATTATATCCAAATGACATTATGAAGAGTTTAACTCAAAATGTAAGCATTTCTTTCGTATTTGAAATTATTTTTGTCCTTTGCTATTAATGATATCAACTTCAATGAGTTCAAGTCGCAATGAACCATGAGGGTAAGACATTAGGATCAAGTCTTGATGCTCCATGATGATAAGAGTTGGGTTTGAGTCATAATTCATTATGGCCTAACATGCCTTTATATTGACAAGATATTAGGTTTGAGTCCCACTATACCATATTGATGATATAATAATGACTAAAGAAAAATAATATATTTTTCATGAAAAGACATGAATATTACCCCACTTGATTTGCTCTATTCTTGAAGTGAATGTGGTAGTAGCGCATAACAAGTCTAAATGAAGACAAGTAGTTGAATAATGAACGTGGGCGTTCCAAAGATCAAAATAATAATAATTATCACTATGATTGTAAAAGGAGAACAATAAGGGTTCTCAAAATAGTCCTTCAAAATGTGAAGGCAATGTTTACCATCAAATTGATATGAAAAATAATAAAGCACGGCGCTGATTATGATCCAAAAAGAATGTGACTTGTGATAAGCATTGAGAATGCATACTCATTCCTAAAGGTAAATGTGGCAATATATGATAAAAGTAATGAATAAAGACATGCAATACATGATTAGATGAATACCACACAACTCATCTATGAGGGAGGTTTGAGTGAAATAACGAGAATAAATATTATTTTGTGGTTACATGAATATGCCATTGGTCGCGTACATGTGATACGCCAAAAAATATTTTGGTGTGCCTTATAAAAGGTTATTAAAGGCAAAATTAAAGCAAGAAGTGATTTTGCTTATGATGATTTTAACCATGACAATTTATTAAGATATAAGTTTCTCCGTAAAGGAGACATTTACCATATGAATGGTGTGACAAAAGATCTTGTAGTATAAAAGTTGTTAAGAGCTCCGAAAAAATTAATTTGTTACTACCTGGATGAATAAAATTATTCACGACATTGATATTGTAAAGTCTCAAAAGAAATTTTTTGAGTTTCAAATGTATAAGTCAAAGTGGTTGGCATTTTGAGACTATAAATGAATAAAATATTGAATGTCTATATATTTCTATAATCATAACGGGTAAATATGAAAGATTACCCGATTTTCTTTCTATTTGTACTACACAAATATAAGCATGATGATGGAATCATATGTCACAAGTAAACTGGAGGTTTACTTAAACAAATATTAATTGGCATGACCGGTTGACCATCTCTGTTCAATTATGATGCGAAAAATTAATTGAGAATTACATTGGCATATATTGAAAAAATATAAGATTCTTCAAGAATTTTCCTGTGCTGCTTATTCTCGTGATATACCAGTTAAAGTTGGGATTGAATCCCTTGATTTCTGGAACGAATAAAAGGTGATAAATATATGGGCCCAGTCACCTTCCACGTGGACCGTTTACTATTTTTAATATATGCATCTATTCTATGGGCACATGTGCATTTGTTATCAACTTGCAGTTTGGCTTTTGCAATATTGATTGCTCAAATTATTAGAGCACGGTTCCAGAATATAAATTATGATGATTTATCTTGATAATACTGATTTAAATCCAAGTTGGTTTAGCAGAATTTGTAGGCCTCCAATTATATCTAAACCATTGGTTATGAGAACAAAACTGCCAAAATAAAATTTGGTATGTGATGTATTATTTAATATATAATAGCACTTGTACGCATCTCGCCAAGTTATGATAAGTTCTCCCTATCACAATCAGTTCAGGGTCATGAACCAAATAATTTTCATCTAGAAATATGAATGTGCTATATGATTTAATTGTTCCACCACAATGCACAAAGATGGATCCCCAAATAAGGCTAGGGATATGTGTTGGTGATACCAATAATAGGGGGAGAAAATGGGCAGCTGAAAAAGTAATGCATGTAATGAATTATTATGAGTACATCTAGATCCTCATACAACAAAATGTGAACTTGAAGTTCAAGTGATAATTCATTTGTAAAATATTGCCAGGCGTATTTGCTGACCCAAAGCTAAATATCATATTCGGCTGCTAATGTTCCAAATAAAATAAAGTTCATAATGAATAGAGTCTATGAGATGCGTGAAGCATAATAGACTAATCGGTTCCAAAGATAAAACTCCTTGAAGAAATAGAGGAGCAAATGTTCAAGATGGTCATAATAAGGAGGCAAGTGCTCCAGAAGAATACCACGACATAACACTTTATAAGACCTCGTGGGAGAGGCTCAAGTACCTGAAAATAATAAGATAAAGAGATCTCAATATGTTATGTCTTTATTGGGTAATAATAGAATCAATATAAAATAATCGTCGACGATATTGTTAATATAATATAGCGCCCAATATTATTAATATTGACGAGGATCTTGAGCTCAAATCTGTCATGAAATTTGGACAGATAAATGATTGGCCAAATGAAAAATACGCAATGAAAATTAATTTCACCTGAAAAATATAAAGTTGGACGGATAGTCCCAACACCTAAAAGTATAAAGCCAGTGGAGGTATAAATGTATTCTTGTGCGAAAAAAGGAAGAAGGTCAAGTCGATAGACATAAAGACGACTTGTATCACAAGAAGATTTGTAAATATCCTGGCATTGATTATATAGAGACATGTTCTCCTGTGGTGAATGTCGCCATTTCAGGTTTTAATCTAGCAATACAAGAAAAACATGATATGCGTGTAATGGAAATCATTGAAGGATTTAAATTGTTCTGAACCTTTATTAAGGTTTCCAAGAAATTTATTAAATAAAGCTTCAAAACTTCTTATACGGATTAAAACAATCAGGGCGCATGTGATATAATCGCCTGAGTGAGTACCTGTTAAAAGAAGGGTACAAGAATGATTCAATTTGTCCTTGTGTCTTTATAAAAAGATCTGGATCTAAATTTGTTATAATCGCCGTGTATGTTGATGATTTAAATATCATTGGAACTCTTGGGGATCTTCCTAAAGCAGTAGACTGTTTAAAGAAAGAATTTGAAATGAAAGATCTTGGAAAGACAAAATTTTATCCTGGTCTACAAATTGAGTATATGAAAGATAGAATTTGTGTCATCAATCAGCGTACACTAAAAAGATTTTAAAGAGATTCTATATGGATAAAGCACATCCATTGAGTACCCCGATGGTTGTGAGATCACTCGATATAAATAAAGATCCATTCCAACCTCATGAAAATAATGAAGAGTTTCTTGGTGTTGACGTACCATATCTTAGTGCAATTAGTGCGCTAATGTATCTTGTTAACACTACAAGGCCTGGCATAACTTTTTCAGTTAATGTCTTAGCAAGATATAGCTCTGCTCCTACAAGGAGACATTGAAATGGAATCAAACACATATTGCGGTATCTAAAAGGGACTACCGATATGGGCTTATTTTATAGCAATGATTGCAATACCGATCTTGTTGGTTATGCCGATGCTGGGTATTTATCTGACCCACACATGGCTCGATCTCAAACAGGCTATGTATTTACATATGGAGGCACTGCCATATCTTGGCGATCGAATAAGCAATCAATCGTGGCTACTTCATCTAATCATGCTGAGATAATTGCTATTCATAAAGCAAGTCGAGAATGTGTATGGTTGAGGTCTATAATACATCTTATTCAAGACAAATGTAGTTTGAAGTGTGACAAACTACCCACAATATTATTTGAAGACAATGCAGCATGCATAGCCCAATTGAAGGGAGGATTCAAAAAAGGGGACAGGACAAAGCAAATTTCACCAAAGTTTTTTTTTCACACATGATCTTCAAAAGAATGGTGATATCAATGTGTAACAGATCCGTTCAAGTGATAATATGGCTGATCTGTTCACCAAATCTCTACCGACGTCAACCTTCAAGAAACTAGTATACAAGATTGGGAAGCGAAGACTCAAGGATGTGAATTGATGCTCTCATCAGGGGGAGTTAATACGCGTTGTACTCTTTTTCCCTTACAAGGTTTTGTCCCACTGGGTTTTCCTTTCAAGGTTTTTAATGAGGCAACCAAAAGACGTATTTCTAAACATGTGTACTCTTTTTCCTTCACTAGAATCTTTTTCCCATATGGTTTTTTTCCTAATAAGGTTTTAACGAGACACATTATCTATGGACATCCAAGGGGGAATGTTATAAGAAAAATCAAATTATGGTGGATGTCTACTCTTTCTCCATGATCTTCTCAAATGCTTAATGACATTCAATAACATATTTCTATACTTAATGACATATTCAATGACATTTTTCACTTTTCATGCCTATATAAAGGCCTTGTAATAGATAAGAAAATACACACAATTGAAGAAGAAAATATCTTCATTCTCTCTATCTCCATTTCTTATTCATATTTTACTAAATTGCTTTTATTTCACAACAAGAAGCACTTATATAGTTACATAATTACATTTGACACACTGGTGCCATGCAACCAATAAGGGGGAAAAAAAAATCATATACATGCAACAAATAGGCTCATTTTTACAAAATAATACAGATCTGTGGCAATAAATTTGCTATGTTATAAAGCGGAATCTCCGATATAAAGTCACGTCAAACGAGTTGCTGTGTTATATTACTCCCTACTCTTTCTTTTTCTTTCAACAATATGATAGACGTCTACCCTTTTGCTTTGTAATTTCACTTGTATTCTCCTTGATTCTACCAATTTCATATGCTTGCTGGATCTTCCACGTACAAAAGTCAGAATAAATAAATAAATAACCAGCGTTAGATAGAGGGACTATAATATTGTCACACTGCTACTGTATCCATTGCGCAATAATTAACCACGAGCCTGCAACAAGTCACACACAAAATGGAGAATACTTGGATATGAATAAATAGCAGCACCTTTGGACGACATTACAGAATCTAGACGCAAAGTTAAGAAAAGGCGCAGCTCAGCTTCAAAAGATTAAATACTAGATTCGTTACAAAAGCTGAGTACAGGAGAAATAGGTACAAACTTCAATATCATAATGTTGATAATCAGAACATCGAGGATGCCATTTCACCGACTTCTGATACAACTTGATCATAATCAGCTTTCAGTTTCTCTTGATCATCCTGGCTAAGTCCCCCCTTGGCAGGTTTTGTTTGTACCAAAACGCAGCAAGTTGGCCGCTTGGTGGCTCCGGCATTTGCTAGATCCTAAAACAGAGTTGACGAGTTTTTACTATCATGACCATGTAACACATGAAGTTTGTACAGAACGTAGTGCATGGCATAGACAACAAAAGCAATGAGAGAACACATCACAACATCTTTGCAATATTTTGATAAACTACACTCATGACCAACGCACAACAAGACTCAGCGTTCTGATTTCTGATAGCACCACAACGTTATTGAGTTTGAGACAGTAAATAAATTTTAACAGATCCTACAACTTTAAAAATGCAATAGAAGTGTAATGCTTCCAGAGAAGAATGTGCAGAATCAAAAGGGGCTTATGACATGAAACAATGAAAGATGTGATATACAATCTTGATTCCTCTGATAAAAATGAAAAGGATTACACAAGCACTGTAGTACGGTCAGTGTAATGTCACAGGTTCAAAGCCAAAGGAAGTCATGAACTGTAACTAGTGAAAGAACAGACAAGATAACAACATATTAATATATGACATAAAAGCCTGAAAAGTCCAGCTTACTTCTTTTGAGGAGACATAGACATATGGTATCTCAGCTTCTTCACACAGGATTGGAACATGGGTGATGACATCTATAGGAGATATATTTCCAGCTATGACACACACTCTACATCACCAGAAACAAATGGAGGATGAGAGATATAGAAACTCTGTAAACACCAACAATATATGCTGTTCGTAAATTTGTATACAAATGACAAATACAAGGTTCATATAGCATCAGTGTTAGTCTGGTATCATGAGTGAAAACCATGCAAACAATATTCATGTCAAAGTAACTAAATTACAATATAAAGAGAAAAAATTTAGTGTTGAGAAAAGCTAGCCTGCTATATCATGCTGTGATTAGACAATGTCAATGTAAAAGCACATCACAGCAATAAACCCAACAGTCCAACTCTTTACTCCAACCCAGTCACCTTCAAAATGCAGTTAACTCCTAAAGTAAAGTCTATTCCATCAATTTTAATATCTATGCTGTCCGGAAGAACAGCACAGATAGGCAAATTAAATACTATAATTATCTGGAGCCTGGACAAGAAAAGGTGGAGAAGAAAAGTTGTGTTTGGTACGACAAAAGTCACTTTTCAGAAAAATACTTTTCACAGGAAGTCATTTTCTGGTGTTTGACAATAAGAAAATTTTCAATGTGGAGAAAATGACTTCTCTCACTTACGAGCAATAATCATTTTCCACAACGATCTTAACTTAACTTCATATAACAGTTGAACATTATGAATAATCTTAACACTCAAAAATCAAATCAAAACACTCTCTAATTGCTAATATTAATATTCTTTCATATATATTTTTCCTGAAAAATATTTTCAGCTCACTAACAAAACATAGAAAAATGACGTTGTCATGCCAAGAACACTCAAAGAGGCTGAGATAACCTCCTCGGATTATAATAGCCTAAACTCTATGTCATTCCCATTCTTCTCCAGTAATGTTTGGTTAAGTAGTGAACCAACTTGAAGTTGTACATATATCCCAATATACTTTATAACAAATATTTCCCAGTCTAGACTAATGTATAGGATCTACAAATGTAACTAAAGATTATAAAAGGATGCATTAAGCCAGAAATAACCCCTGAAATTATACAACTATAGTATGTGTACTGAGAAACAACAAATAAGAGAATAAATTCTTCAATTCACATTTCTCCAAGCTTATAACTTAAGAGTAAAGATGTCCATCAGTGTGACATCTAAAAACAAACCTAAGCCATTAAACAAAAGAGCACATAACTATAAACACGAAATATAACACATAATACCCATCAATATACAAATAAAACCTTAAAATGAAATAAACCACCCAAAAAAATTGACTAACCCTTTTTGACCGCGTCGAATACTCTTTACCACCTCTTTAACGCCCCTCTTCAAACACTTTTTCTCCGCAGCTGAACACAAATAAGGGTAAATCAATCAACCAACTACAAGTCTACAACTCAATATCAACCTTATTGGTACGGAAACTAAAATGAGTGTAAAAAAAAGTAAAATAACACTCTTCCACGCCATTACTAATGGATGAATCGAACTATTTAAGAAGTACAAAGGATACCTCGGCGAACAAGTTTGAAGATACGTTTGTTGAGTTTTTTTCCAGCAAGGGGCTTGGCAATAGGGGCTAAGGCCAACAGCTTCTTCTTCTCCTTTTGTGCACTTTTCTCTACTTCGCTATCGCTACCCATTTCTACAGAAGCTACTGGTCTCTTGTTTTTTGTGGTAGGGAAAAGAAGAGAGAGTAGGGTTTATGAGGAAGATGAATTGGTTACTTGACTTCTAGGGTTTAAGGTCTTGAGTTCTCGGCCCCATGACTTTGGGCCTGTCTGTGTTTGGGCCTCATTGAAACCCAAGTAAAGTGACACTATATAATCGCTCTAAAAATAATAGCCGAAAAATATAATATATTTTTTTTGTATATATACACTTTGTATGATAAATACAAAATTATGCAAATTTTATACTGGTTACCAAATGTAAATAGTTTTTGGTGCGGGCCAAAAGTAAAAAAAGCCCTTTTGTTTTTGAGACACTGTATAGCCGTTCTCAAAATTAATAGCCGAAAAATATATATATTTATGTATTTATATACAAAAAATATATAAAAATTATATACTTTTACAACTACAGAATATAAATAATTTTGACCGCGGACTAAAAGTGATATTTGCCCTTTCATTTTCCAATTGGTACGGACTTAACTACACTATCAGTAAAGAATGTTAACTAATAATGTAATTCAAAATTATACTAACAAGTTACGTATTCGTTATCAAGCTTGATGATATGAGCGATTACAATCAACCTCATCTATAACAACTATCTTCTATAATAACATTTTACTATAATAACTATATCTTTTAGAATCAATTTTTCATATTTTAAGGTTAGACTTAGAACTTTTGAATGTTCAAGTAAGTTTTATAGCCATTAATATTAGTAACTCAAATAATGCTAACAAAAGCTCAAACCAAAATTAGATCAATACATAGCTAGCAAAAGTTCAATTCAATATAAGAAATGACAATGTATTAAATATCTATTTTTTATTTTGTAATAATTTAGATAAAAATGCATAACCTATTTTTATTTTTTCTTTAGCGTTTAGTCATATAATTAATATTCCCTTATTAGTCTACTTATTTTAGCATGACTTAGTACTTTTAGATTATATTTATTCTTATTATGACTTTTTAATTAGCAATATTTATATTACGTGATTTTATTGTCTTTATTGTTGAACATTTTAGGATAATGCCATGACACATCTCATATTTTGTATTATTTTCTAAAAAAAAACACTTCATATAGTTGTATCTTATTAGGATTAAAGAAATATTTGGAGCACAAGTTATATATTTTGTGCTACGAAGATTTAGCGGAAAAACCCGAAAACCCCCGAAAAACCCGAAAACCCGAGAAAGTCCAAAATTGAAAAACCCGAGTTTTATTGGTTTGATTTGGTCTTTAGATTTAATAACCCGACACAATTGATTTGATTTGGTAATTGAAAAACCCGAGTTTTATTGGTTTGATTTGGTCTTTAGATTTAATAACCCGACACAATTGATTTGATTTGGTAATTGAAAAACCCGAACCAACCTGACATATGTACGCCCCTAATTATATGATAAAAAGTTTATTTATGTTCGACTTCACTTCAACAATATAATAAGTTCGTTCTACTCAACACATATCTACTTATGAAGAATGACTTGCTTTGGAATAAATATTTATCATATCCTAGTATAATTGCAACTACAACTCGTCATTTGACATTACAAAAATCCAGCTCTCATTTTATCTTTATATGTTTGCGTTGAATGATACAACAGTAAATGACAAGAGAATATAGCAAATAATTTATGATTAAGCTGAACAATTATTCTTTTCTAATCAAGTTAGCTCTAGAGTCATAGAGCAAACTCAAATGGATTTAAGCTACGGATCAAGTTAAAAACAATAGTACTATTTGGGTTGTTATTTCTTTTTAGCCCTTTTCTTTTTTGCTATTTGTTATTGTTTTTTTCTTATTTTTTACAACTAAATGTGAGTAAAATAGCCATGTGACTATTCTGTTCATAGGAAATCAAGCCACTGCCAAATTCTAGAATTCTATACTCAAAAGGCTATAATTTAGTGTTCAAGCTGTTATTTAGGAAACATTATATTTATTTATACCATTTTGTTTTATTTATATTTGTTTGAGATCAATCGTGTTGTTTTTAATATAGTAAGATAAGAGCGCGTTTGGATTAGCCGGAAAAAAGTAGCTTTTAAGCACAATCTATTTGCTATTCTATTTTTTTTTCTAACAACTAAACCACGGCAAATAGCGCTGTCGCTATTTTGTTCTGAGCAAATTAGCTGCCAAATTTAGAAACTATATTCATAAGGTTGCTAATAGAATTCGAGGGTCCACCAAACTATATAGAGAACCAGGTTCTCTATTAGTTTTCATAGATTACGTACACACAGCAGTAAGTAAATGACATTGAGAGTTTTTACGTGGAAAATTCCCAGCCCACGGGATTTAAAATCACGACCTACCCTTGTAGGATTTCAACTTCACTACTGAGCAAACTTTTAGATTACAACCTATTGTAACCTAGAAATTAACTTCTTAATCCCTCACTAACTTGTAACAATCCTATTACAAGTCACTTTGTAATACATCTATTACAAAGACTTTACAACTCGACTAACTCAAGTCAAGACACAAACGCAAGGGTTTATGATTTACAAAGAGTTCCCTACACAATGCTTCTAAGTAAGCTAAGTAGGAATTGCAAGTAAGAACTTTGACAAAGGTACAACTCAACTAAGGACATATAATAACTTGATATAGGGAACTGGTTTTGTAGCAGTGCTGTTCTTTGTTCTTGATGCACTTGAGAATCATTTTCTGGATGATCAATCACTATAGGAGTGCTCAGTAAATTATCTAAGTGTTCAAGTGATGTTTTGCCTTTGGTTTAATGTTAATATAACATTGATGACATCACTTGATTGATATAAGCAACTTGGGTACAAGATCCTTCCCAATAGAGTTGACTGCTACACTGTGTTGTACTGTTGCGTGTGCAGGCAGCCACTTTTCAGCTGTTGGAGGGTTGACTGGTACGATCACCAGGGGAACTGATGGACATCAGTTCCCCTTGTAGATTCTTTAGCTTCTGAAAGACTGACGAACCTTCAAGTTGAAGTCTGGTTATTTCCACATGCTTGAGAATATGTATCAGTTTCCTTATCTGGTTCTTGACATTAAGTTTATTAGATCATCAAAACATACAACGAGGTACTTATAACTTATCAATTTTTCCCCTTTTAATGATGGCAAACTTATAATTGAAATGCCCACGAAGAACCACCAGAAATGGCAATGCTTAACCTTGAATTCCCCCTGAAAAATCTGTGTTCCCCCTCAATCAATGCACATCATTTATTCAATTATGTATATTCTTCCCTCTTTTGACATCATAAAAAGAAGAAAATCAAGTAAAAGCAAAAAGAAGTCCAGCGTGGTTAACTCAGGCCACATGTGTGCACACAAACATAATAGAAGACAGAGACATAAGAGCAATGTATACACAGCAAAAAGGGAAAAACTTTCATTAAGCAATTTGGAATTTACGACAGGAGTAGTTTCAATGTTGCCAGCAACCATCCACAATTCAAAACAAAAAAAAAACAAGTACCAACCACAAAACATCATCAGAAAATTCATAAAAAAAACTGACACTTAAAACTTGACACTGGAGGGGACATTGTTTAGGGAGCACTTGAGGAAGAGGGCTTAGAGGAGGGGGGCAAGGGTTTTGAGGACTAGATCCATTCGAGCATTCGCCGACAATTGCTCATTGAGCAGTCTTTATTTCAGGTCCTCCACTTGTTTCTTGAGCTCAGCATTCTCCTTAGTCAGACGGGCAACCTCTGAACTTTGAGAACTACTGGAACCAGGTGCCTCCTGAAGCTGACTGAGCTGACCTTCAAGAATAGCATTCCTTGCTTTTAACTTCTTGATCTCCTCCGTAGCACTGTTCTGAGCGTTGATCAACTGAGAGATGGTAGAAGTGCTTCCAACTCCTCCAACCTTATCAATGCACTCACATTCTTCGAGAGTGGTCTTGGAGAAAGTTTGCTTCCTAGTGCCCACTTTAGCTTGTCCTAGAGGGACCTTGAAGAACTCAAAAACCTTGGTGAGAAGGAACCCATAAGGCAGCCCATGGTTACCATCTTTGAACTCTGCCACTTTTTCATATGTTCAATCATAATCCCAGGCAGATTAATGGTAGTAAAGCCATCCAACGCTTCCATGAGAACCAGGTCGGCTCTGGAGGTAATGGATCTTCTCTCAGCACGGGGAAGCAACACTTTGTTCACCATCTCAAACAATAATTGGTACACTAAAAGGAGAGCCTTCTAGTGCATCTGTTCCCCCTGTTAGATTGTCATGTCTTTAGCAATAGCATTTCTGAAGTTGGAAGAGCAGGATCCTTGGATTGATGACAACCCTTCAGCAGGCACATCTAGAATCGACCCCAACAAAGCAAAGTTCATCTCAATGTCAACCCCATTCACCAGTACGCAGATGTGATCATCCTCAACTTTGAAGAAGTCGGCATAGAAGCTCCGTACTTACTCCTCATACACTTTTGGAACATCACTTGTAAACAAGTGTGTCCATTATTAGAATTCACAGATTTCAACCAATTGTCGTATCCCGGCCAGCTCCAAAATGTCAGGGGCAAATGTACGGCTCCATAGTACCTTCTGATTCCTTAATTTTTCTTTCCCAGCACTCTCGGATTCATCAACTTTGGCCTTCTTGGAGGAACCAGGTTCCTCTTCGACATTAACTTTCCTTTTCACAGACTTGCGAGAAGTTTTTCCCTTCTCAACGGACTTTGCAGACACTATTTTCTCAGACACATTTTCACCAGAATCTTCCATCACCTTGTTACCAGATTTTTCACCACCTTCTTCCACTATCTTGTCCCCATATTCTTCCACCAAATTTTCACAGAGATAACACCATCACTCTTGTTTGGACTCTCAATACTCACAGAAGATTTCTTTTAGACTTAGAGAGAGAATGCTTTTGTGAGTGCTTATGAGTCAAGGAACCAGGTTCCTCGTCCACTTCATCATCCACAATGACAACATGCACTACTTTCTCATGCATAACCTTCCCATCCTTTACCAATTGCCTCCTCCTTTGACTGACTTGACTTTTCTTAAGAGCAGACTCAAGAGCCTCT